GTCTTTGAATTGTAATGCTGGCTGCTCTCCACAGTGCAGCTGTATCTTTAGATGTCAAGCCGGGCTCGGTGGCTCAGCTTGTAATCCCGCGCCTTTGGGAGGCTGAGGTGAGTGGATTGCCTGAGCTCGTGGGTTCGAGACCCGCCTGGGCGGCGAGACCTCATCTCTACAATAGATCTAAAAATCAGCCAGGCGTGGTAGCACCTGCCAGTAATTCTGGCTACTTGGAAGGCTGAGGCGGAAGGATCACCGGAGCCCAGCAGATCGAAGCTGCAGTGGCCGGAAGCGGCCACTGCACTCCAGTCTGGGCAACAGAGTGAGACTCCAACTCAAAACAAGAAAAAAAGAAGTCAGCCGTAGCTGTTTGTAAGCCCTGATGACCGTTTATTCTCTTTCTTGTTTATCCAAGGTTACCTGACTGGTGTCTTTTTCTGGGGTGATCTTCTGACTGGACAAGAACTATGTCATGGATCAAGGAAGGAGAGCTGTCACTCTGGGAGCGGTTCTGTGCCAACATCATAAAGGTGAGCAGTGGCCCAGAGCACCAGTTGACCTTCTAGCCAGTTGGGTGATTTATATCAAAATGTAATATTAAAGTTGAGCAATTCAGCTGGGTGCAGTGGCTCATGCCTGTAATCACAGCACTTTGGGAGGAGGAGACGAGAGGATTACCTGAGCCCACAGGTTCGCGACTAGCCTGGGCAACATGGCAAGACCTTGTCTCTATAATAAATAAAAAGATTGCCAGGTGTGGTGGTGCGTGCCTGTAATTCCAGCTACTTGGAAGGCTGAAGCAAGGCTGGGAAGGCTGGGTGACAGAGACTCTGATTCAAAAATAAAAATAAATAAAGTTGAGCAATTCATGATGTTAACTAGAATTTAGCAGGACAACCAGAGTCTTAGAGTTGTAATGTAACTTCCAGGTTTGCATTTCTGGTAGATTATTGTCCTGACAGGGCCCAGGGCCTCCCAAAATCACTGGGTAGCATAGACTGTTATGTCTTCCTTATAGAGAACTGAGATTTATTTCCCTAGATCTTTGATCCATTGTTCCTAGTACTGTCCTCTGGATTTATATTGAATAATTAATTTTTAAATTGACAGTAGAGCTACAGTTAAGAGTTTGGTCTCTGGAAGCAGACAGTCATGAGTGAAAATCCCGTTCTCTCCTTTAATAGCCTTGTGACTTTAACAACTGTAGAATTGTTATGAGAATTAAATGAAACACACATATAAAGCGCTTAGCACAAAGTTTAGCAGTTTTTTTTTTTTTTTTTTTTTGAGTTGGAGTCTCACTCTGTTGCCCAGGCTGGAGTGCAGTGGCATGCTCATGGCCACTGCAGCCGCAACCTGCTGGGCTCAGGTGATCCTTCTGTGATCACTCGATGTCCTATGCCCCTCTTGCTTTCCCAAATTTTCTATCAGCTTTTTCTTTAGGAATCACAGCCATGTTATATGCTTTACCCAAGTCATGTTTGAGATTGGGGCCAGTCACCTTGGTTTTGTTTTTCAGCTACAGGCTGCCAAGCAGCAGATATTAGTGAACTTATGAGTCAGTAGCCTTACAGAAGCCCCCCACACACTTACACAAATGCCAAGTAATTTCAAGGAGGTTGGGAAATGGGAACTATCTCCTCTGGGAATCGCTGTAGTGATCTGTTAGGAAGAACAAGCTGCGTGACTTGACTGGAATTTCTTGGAATGGCTTTGTGGGAAAAACAAAAGTAGAAATTGTTGGCTAGGTGCTGGGGAAGCAGTCAATGAAGAGGCCCTCCAGGTGAGGGAGTTTTTGCTGTGATAGACAATCCAAAGCTGCTCTAAGCCTAATAAGTTCTGTTTGGCTAAAGAAAAAATGTCTTTTTTGTTTGCTTTGAAATGGCTCCTAACATTTAAATTTTTGTAAAAATCCTGATATTTGGTCTTCTTGTAAAATTAGATTATCCAAACAACACTGGGTCCCAATTCCTATATGTCCACAGTTGGCTAGATGTGGGGAGTGAGTGCTTTTTTTTATGTAGATGCTCTCTCCATTTGGCTATACCCATTAGTATTTTTCCTTTGCCTTCACGTTGGAGACTAATGAAACCGAGGTGGTAGTTAGGAGCATTTGGTTAAAAGATGGGCTCTGGAAACAGACATACCTCAATTTGAATCCCCACTTTTTCTCTTCTTAGCTGTGTAACTTGTGCGAGTCAGTTGACCTCTCTGATCCTGTTTTTTCATCTATAAAATAAAGATAATATTATTTACTTTTTAGGATCGTATAAGATGAAGTATAAGAAGCCTAGAGTATGGAGAGGTACAAAAAATGAATCCTCTTTTGCAACCCAGAACTCATTATTCAGTATGAGTTTTGATACATATAAGAAAGGAAAAAAAAAGAAGCCCAGTATAGTATTTGGCATGTAGTAAGTGCTCAATAAACATATAAATAAAAATGCTTAGTGCCCTTTTATTGAACTATATGTGTAAAATATTCAATTCCCTTCCTCAGGGATTTTAATCACATAGCTCAAACCTATCAGCTTAGGGTGTGGTATTCTCCTTTATCCCTGAAAAGTATGAGAGCTGGCCATCATTTGTCCTCTTCTTTCACAGGCAGGTCCAATGCCCAAACACATTGCATTCATTATGGATGGAAACCGTCGCTATGCCAAGAAGTGCCAGGTGGAACGGCAGGAGGGCCATTCAAAGGGCTTCAACAAGCTGGCTGAGGTGGGTGTGACTGGCAGAGTCCAAAGTGAACAATCTATAGAGAAGTGGATTATAGCTAGAAAATCAGGTCCTGAGTTTGCTATGGTTTGAGAGTGTCCATTATAGATGTTTCTGTTTTCTTGCTTGCTAGCTAGCTATAGGTTTCATATTGACATTAACAAAAAAAGTAAATGAATTGTCACAAAATATTAGAAATAAGAATAAAATTGCCTCCTTCTACCACCTTAAAATAAATTGACAGTTTATATTATTCTATGCCTCATTAAGTCCTTATAGTATATCCTATACAACTTTTTTTTTTTTGAGTTGGAGTCACTCTGTCGCCCAGGCTGGAGTGCAGTGGCACGCTCATAGCCACCCCAGTGTCGACCTGCTGGGCTCAGGTGATCCTTCCGTCTCAGCCTTCCAATTACCTGGAACTACAGGCGTGTGCTACCACACCCAACTAATTTTTTTTTTTCTTTGAGTTGGAGTTTCACTCTGTTGCTCAGACTAGAGTGCAGTGGCATACTCCTGGCCACCACAGCCTTGACTTGCCAGGCTCTGGTGATCCTTCCACCTTAGCCTTCCAAGTAACCGGAACTACAGGCACACACTACCACGCCTGGCTAATTTTTGACTTATTGTAGAGATGAGGTCTTGCTAAGCTGCCTGGGTGGGTCTTGAACCCGCAGGCTCAGACAATCCACTCACCTTGGCCTCCCAAAGTGCTGGGATTACAGACTGAGCCACTGAGCCTGGCCTAATTTTTGATATATTGTAGAGACAAGGTCTCACCACGTTGCCCAGACTGGTCTCGAACCCCCGGGCTCAGGCAATCCTCTCGCCTTGGCCCCCTAAAGTACTGGGATTACAGGCTCGAGCCACTACGTCTGGCCGATGCAATTTCAAACTGTTGGACAGGCCAGGAAATATGGTCTGCAGCTTATAGGTCCCAGGGTCCTGGCACAAGAACACAAATAGTGCTCATTTTTGACTTGAGTGAGTAGCAGTGGGGTTTTCACCAGTATCCTGTAGAAGTCATTAAACTTGTTGACCCAAGCTCTTTTTTTTTTTTTTTTTTGTGAGTTGAAGTCTCACTCCGTCTCCCAGACTGGAGTGCAGTGGCATGCTCCTGGCCACTGCAGCCTCGACCTGCTGGGCTCCAGCGATCCTTCCGCCTCAGCCTTCCAAGTAGCTGGAACTATAGGCGTGCACCACCATGCCCGGCTAAATTTTGTGTGTGTGTGTGTGTGAGTTGAAGTCTCACTCCGTCTCCCAGACCGGAGTGCAGTGGCATGCTCCCAGCCACTGCAGCCTCGACCTGCTGGGCTCCAGCGATCCTTCCACCTCAGCCTTCCAAGTAGCTGGAACTATAGGCAAGAGCTACCACGCCTGGCTAATTTTTTGATTTATTGTAGAGATGAGGTCTCGCCAAGTTGCCTAGGTGGGTCTCGAACCCGCGGGCTCAGGCAATTCACTCACCTTGGCCTCCCAAAGCGCAGGATTACAGGCTGAGCCACCGAGCCCGGCCAAACTCTCTTTTGTAACTGTGAGGCAGTTTTGCCTTTGGCCTAGTGTTTAGAAGGTTAAGCTCTGGAGTCACTCAGAACTCCTTCAGCAAGTTATGTAACCCCCCTTTTGCCTCATTTTCTTCATCTGTAAAATGGAGTTACTGATAGATAATCTCTATCTCAGGAGACTATTTGACAATTAAGAAAGATGGCACAGGCCAGGCTCAGTGGCTCAGCCTGTAATCCCAGCACTTTGGGAGACCGAGGCGAGTGGATTGCCTGAGCTCATAAGTTTGACACCAGCCCGGGCAATTTGGCCAGACCTCACTCTACAATAAATCAAAAATTAGCCAGATGCGGTAATTCCAGCTACTTGGAAGGCTGAAGCGGAAAGATCACCTGAGCCCAGGTGGAGGCTGCAGTGGCCATGAGTATGCCACTGCACTCCAGGCATGGGCCACCTGGCCTTGTGTTTCAGTTAAGGGGTTTAGAGATGTAGGTCTTCATCTTTGTTTTCAGTTATTTGTCTTCTATCCTCTACCTTTAACCCATCTCAACATTGTTATTTTCAGCTGTAGCTTATTCTCCACCTTTTCTGGTACAGGGTTAGAGCGATCCCAAAGGACCAAATTTAAGTGAGTTTTACTTTTCCTTTTTTTTTCCCTTGAGTCAGGGTCTCACTGTGTCACCCAGGCTGAGTGCAGTGGCATGATCAAAGCTCACTGCAGCCTCGACCTCTTGGACTCAGAGCAACCCTTCTGCCTTAGCTCCTGAGTAGCTGGGACTACAGGTATGCGCCATTATGCCCAGCTAAATTTTTGATTTTTTGGTAGAGATGAGGTCTCGCTATGTTGCCTATGCTGGTCTCAAATTCCTGCACTAAAGCAATCCTCCTGCCTTGGCCTCCCAAAGTACTAGGATTACAGGCATGAGCCACCTGAGTGAGCCTGGCCAAGTTTTACTTCTTTTTAAATTAAGGTATTTTTTCTTTTGGAGCTTTTCAGAAGTTATAATTTCATACAATGAAATGCACAGATTTGGGGCTTTGACAATTGCATTCATTTTTATAACCCATACCCCTGTCAAAATAAAGGACATTTCCATCTCTCCAAAAAGTTCCCTGGTTCCACTTCCCAGTCAAACCCTGTCCCACTTCCTCTTTAGACAACCACTGTTCTGATTTTTGTAACTGTAGATTCATTTTTTTCTGTTCTAGAACTGTATAAAATGGAATGAAACAGTCAAGTTGTAGACTTTTGACAAGTTTCTTCAACTCCTTGAATATGTTTTATCATTTATAAAGTAGGCATGAAAACAATAGTGCCATTTTTAAGTGGTTGAAGAATCAAATGAAATAATGTATGTGAAAACCCTTTGCAGGTTATTAAATACTACACAGCTGTCCAATTATTGCTTTTATTCTTTTAATTCATCAGCCTCTCAGTCTACCAGAATAATGAAATTATGCTATAAGTAATAATACCTTGTGTTTTTATATTGTTTGTTTAGCTACCATGGTGGGGATGGATTGTGATCCTGTTTTACAGATAAGAAGACTTAGGCCCAGAGAGGTTAAAGGATTTATCTGTGGCCACATAACAAGTGCATGATGGAATCAAGGATTAGAATTTGGGTCTTTAAGCTCTCAGTGAAGAGGGTCTTTCCAGTAAACCACATGGCATTAGCATTAACTAAGATCGCATTTTTTAGTTTCTTAATTGGTGGTTTTCTGCTTGTTTGTCTCATTATTCTGACAGAAGCACTGATATTATCCTAGCTTTACCTAGGTTTGGGGAGGAGAAAAGTATGAATCTCATCTCCAAATCTGAGTCAGGGCCAAAGCATCTCTTATTTCCCTTCCCACTCTTCCTTGTATCCTAGCTCCTTGCCTTCTCCCCCTCAGACTCTGCGCTGGTGTTTGAACCTGGGCATCCTAGAGGTGACGGTCTATGCATTCAGCATTGAGAACTTCAAGCGCTCCAAGAGTGAAGTAGATGGGTTAATGGATCTGGCCCGCCAGAAGTTCAGCCGCTTGATGGAAGAAAAGTAAGATGCTTATCAGGAGAGAGTATGCTCTTCCACCACTTTCAGCCTTAGCATTACCCTCGCTATTCTGTTATCTGAGGCTTAACTAAGGGACACCAACTCCTTTTAATGTTAGTTATGGGCTGGGTGTGGTGGCTCGGCCTGTAATCCCAGCACTTTGGAAGACTGAGGAGAGAGGATTGTCTGAGCTCAGGTTTCAAGACCAGCCTGGGTAACTTGATGAGACCTCGTCTCTACAAAATCAGACTAGCCAGGTGTGGTGGCGTGCATCTGTAGTTCCAGCTACTTACTTGGAAAGCTAAGGCAGAAGGGTTGCCTAAGCCTAGCAGGTTGAGGCTGTGGTGGCCGTGAGCATGCCACTGCACTACAGCCTGGGAAATAGAGTGAGACTCCAACTCAAAAAAACAAATCTATTAGGTAGAACCTCTTCATACATTTACTTCCTCCTCTTTCTGCAGACCAGCTTTCTCTGCTAAAAAAAAAAAAAAGCAGCCTAAATTAATTGGCCTGCCTTCTATCAAATTTCTATACCAGAACCAATAAACTGTGGCTAAGGGAGTGGGGTGAATGAAACATTGAAGAAGTCGTTTTCTGCCCCATAGTAATCCCTAAAAAGTTACTGTCTCCTCCTGCATAGTCTCTTGGGAGGAATGGGATAATGCATAAGAGACCTTTATGAGGAAGTGTCAGTACTATCCTTAGCTATAGCTTCAGTACCATTCTTAGCTGTCCCTAAGTTTTGGCTTGAGTTAGGGAGTAAAGCCAGAAAGGGGAAAAGAGGAAGCTCAGTGGAGATTGTTTGCTTCAAAGTGTGATGCCAGCCAGGCCCAGTGACTCACGCCTATAATCCCAGCACTTTGAGAGGCAGAGGTGAGAGGATTGCCTGAGCCCAGCAACTCAAGGCCAGCCTGGCAGAACCACATCTCTACAATAAATAAAAAAATTTACTGGGCATGGTGGCATGTACCTGCAGTTCCAGCTACTTGAAAGGCTGAGGTGGAAGCCTCGCCTGAGCCCAGCAGGTCGAGGCTGCGGTGGTCATGATTGTGCCACTGCACTCCAGCCTGGGCGAGAGAATGACTCCAACTCAAAAAAACCAAACAAACAAAAACAAAGTGGGATGCCCTTACCAGCCACTATTGCCCCAAAATCTTCATCACAACTGTTATGTGCCAAGCTCCTACCTACACCAGGACTACAGCTCCAATGAAGATGGGTCTAGAACAGTGGGTGATAGGAGGGCGGGCAGGTTTTTTGGTCCATAGTAGGATGGTGAGATTCTGGGCCACAGATATTGCTTCCTGATTCCCTGCAGAACTTCTGAGGCTCAGAGTTTATACCAAAGGGCCTAGCAATGGAGGTAAGGAGCACATCCCATGTATTCAAATTCTTGTACTGCACATGAATCTTACCTTTTTTTTTTTTGAGTTGGAGTCTCACCTTTTTAAAGTGCTTACTATGTGCCAGGCTCTGAGCTTAAAATGTATTCTTTTTTTTTTTGAAGTAGGAATCTCACTTTGTCACCTAGGCTGGAGTGCAGTGGCACACTCATGGTCACTGCAGCCTTGACCTGCTGGGCTCAGGTTATTCTTCCAACTCAGCCTTACAAATAGCTGGAACCACAGGTGTGTGCCACCACACAGGTCTTCCTTCCAACTCAGCCTTACAAGTAGCTGGAACTGTAAGTGTATGCCACCACACTCAGCTAATTTTTTTATTTATTGTAGAGATGAGGTCTCACCAAGTTGCCCAGGCTGGTCTTGAAACCCTGGGCTCAGGCAGTCCTCTCGCCTCTACCTCCTAAATTGCTGGGATTACAGGCATGAGCCACTACACCTAGTTAAAATGTATTCTTATTTAATAGTCACATTATCCCTGAGAAAGATTTTATTAGCCCAGTTTTAGAGAGGAAGAAAGTAAAAATCAGAGAAGTTAAGGCATATATCCTAGGATACACAGCTATCAAACAGTCAGAGCCAAGGTGCACGCCTGCGTCTTTCTGACTTCAGAGCTGAGCTGTTGTCTACTACACTGTGCCCCAAGAGACAAGAGACAGTCTTACAATTCCTGCAAGATCAAAATGGGATGGCATAGGGATGCTAATGAGATTATTCTAATCAGTCAGTAGTAGAGAAAAATGGTCCTAGCTTATCACGAAGTCTTGGCAAGAGCAAGAAGAATCCTCAGAGGTGCTTTTCCAGTAACATGCCCTCTCCCTTACCTCAGGGTTCTGAAGAGTGGGTGTGAAAAGGATCTAGTGGGTGTGGGTATAGGGTGCTGATTTGCATTTCCCTATTTTATATATTGGGCTTCTGTATAGAATTTGATTTGAAGAAAGCATTCTCTGGCCAAAAGAAATTTGGACAACTATTGACCTAGGTCAGTTTCATCTGTTGAAAAACTAACCCTAGTAAAGATAAGAGAAGGGCCGGCTCGGTGGCTTAGCTTGTAATACCGCGCCTTTGGGAGGCTGAGGTGAGTGGATTGCCTGAGCCCCATGGGTTCGAGACTCGCCTAGGCAGCGAGACTTCATCTCTACAATAAATCAAAAAATCAGCTGGACGTGGTAGTGCATGCCTGTAATTCCGGCTACTCGGAAGGCTGAGGCGGAAAGATTGCCAGAGCCCAGCAGGCGAGGCTGCGGTGGCCGGGAGCGGCCACTGCACTCCAGTCTGGGCGACAGAGTGAGACTCCAACTCAAAAAAAAAAAAAAAAAAAAAAAAAGAGAAGGGTTTATGCATGGTCACATAGCAAACTCTTTGCAAAGCCAGGTTGGGAACTCACATCTCTTGACTCCTTGACAGGAATTTTGCAGTGGTAAGTAAAATAATAAACAGTTCACGAGTGGATTAAAATAAGTATTGAATTCTGACTTAAAGCCTGCCACCAAGATGCAGCTGTAGAATTGAAGTATATCAACTCCCTTGCCACTTACTGATAGAGTTTTGATATGAGTCTGCAAGTAATTGATTTATTATGGTCTCCATGCAGTCAAACCTCACTGCTAATGTTACTCTGTATTTACACTCCCCAACACTAGCATCACCACCTTGGCTCCACCTCAAATCATCAGACATTAGATTCTCATAAGGAGTGCGCAACCTAGATCCCTTGCATGTGCAGTTCATAATAGAGTTTGCGCTCCTTTGAGAATCTAATGCTGCTGCTAATCTGACAGGAGGCAGAGCTATCATTATCATATTATCATCATATTTCTGGGATTATAGTAGAGATGAAGTCTTACTATGTTGTCCACTCTGGTCTTGAACTTCTGGGCTCAAGCAGTCCTCCCGCCTTGGCCTTCCAAAGTGCTGGGATTGGGATTATAGGTATGAACCACCACACCTGGCTTTTTTTTTTTTTTTAAGTCAGGATCTCACTCTGTTGCCCAAGCTGGAGTACAGTGGCATATATTTCACTATTATCATCATATTTCACCAGAACATAACAAAAATAAACAATAATACATCTCATACCCTAGGAGTTTACTCAGTTGTCACAATGGGACAAACATACACAGAATATATAAAATACAACTTGCTGGCCAGGCACAGTGGCTCACGCCTATAGTCTCAGTACATTGGGATGCCAAGGCAGGAGGATTGTTTGAACCCAGGAGTTCAACACCAACTTAGGCAACATAGCAAGACCTTGTCTCTACAAAAAATAAAAAAATTAGATGGGCGTGGTGGCACGTGCCTATAGTCCCAGCTACTTAGGAAGCTGAGGTGGAAGGATCGCCTTATCCTGGGAGTTGGAGGCTGCAGTGAGCTATGATCGTGCCACTGCACTCCAGCCTGGGTGACAGAATGAGACTCTGACTCAAAAAAAAAAAGAGCTAGGTGCAGTGGCTCATACCTGTAATCCCAGCACTTTGTGAGGCCAAGGCAGGAAGATTTCTTGAGCCGAGGAATTAGAGACCATCGTGGGCAGCATAGGGATACCTTGGATGTACAAAAAATTGGCTGGGCATAGTGGCACATGCACGTAGTCCCAGCTACTCAGGAGGTTGAGCTGGAAAGATCTGAGCTCAGGAGGTCAAGGCTGCAGTGAGCCCTGATCATGCCTTTGCACTCCAGCCTAGGGAACAGAGTGAGACTCTGACTAAAAAACAAACAAAAAAAAACTTACCAAAAAGGACATATGGGGCAATATAATGCATGGTTAAGAGTTCAGGTTCTTTAATCAGCCAGACTTGGGTTTTAATCCTAACACAACACTTGATGACTCTATGACCCTGGGCATTCCCTTTCTGACTATCCTTGCTAAGCCTCAACACTGTACTCTATCCCTGTCTGACTCTACCTGAGCCTCAGTGCTGCAGTAAACTCCTTCCAGAGTTGTTGAGGAGATACAGTAAAATAATACCTGCAGAGCAGTGCTTGACCCACAGGAAAGCACTCAAAAACTGGTAGTTTGTTATTATCTAAGCACCTTGCTCTCCCCAGCTCAGCAAGTGCTCCATCCCAACCTTGCCTCCTTTTCCCCAATCAGGGAGAAACTGCAGAGGCATGGCGTATGCATCCGGGTTCTGGGCGATCTGCATTTACTGCCCTTGGATCTCCAGGAGCTGATTGCACAAGCTGTACAGGCCACTAAGAACTACAACAGGTAAGTTCATGCATTTCCACTTAGGCACCTGTTTCAATCTTTGACTACTTGCTGGCTTTAGGGAGACATTCTAGACCCTCTTTGGTCAGTATTTCACTCAAGGGGCAATGAGGAGAATACTTTGAGATGCTAAGAGACTTTCCACCTTCATCTGCAGAGCATATCAGAGATGATTCTGTAAGACCACGTAATATGTGTGTATACTGACACATACAATTTCTCATCCTCTTTCTCCTTCATGTGCTTCTCCCCCACTAAAAGCATGAGCCACTGCAAAATATATATAAGTATATGTATTTTTTTGGCCAGTTGTGGTGGCTCACGTCCTTAATCCTAGCACTTTGGGAGGCCAAGGTGGACAGACTGCTTCAGCCCGGGAGTTTGAGACCAGCCTAGGCAATGCAGTGAAACCTCATCTCTACAAAAATTTTTATTTATTTATTTTATTTTTTGAGTTGAAGTCTCACTCTGTCGCCCAGGCTGGAGTACAGTGGCATGCTCACGGTCACTGCAGCCTTGACCTGGGTTCAGGTGATCTTTTTGTCTCAGCCTTCCAAGTAGCTGGAACTATAGGCATGCACCACCACACCCAGCTAATTTTTTGATTTATTGTAGAGACGTGGTCTCGTCATGTTGCTCAGATTGGTCTCGAACCCCTGGGCTGAGGCAGTCCTCTCGCCTCGGCCTCTCAGAGTGCTAGGATTACAGAGGTTTCTGAGCCAACACACCCGGCTCAGAAACCTCCTTTCCATTCTCCTTCGTTTATGCCAATATTTGTTTATGCTAATATAATAGTAGATTCACATCCTTTAAAAGCTGGTTGGCAAAAGGGGAAAGAGAGTTAGGAGGGCAATAGGAACCATTTAGTATTTGTCTTATTATAAAATTAATAACTCCTGCCTGGGCAATGAGTGAGACTCCAACTCCAAAGAAAAAACTAATAACAGACCAGGCACTGTGCCTCCTGCCTGTAGTAATCCCAGCACTTTGGGAGGCTGAGGTGAGAGGATTGCCTTGAGCCCAGGGGTTTAAGACCAGTCTGGACACTTTAGCGAGACCTTGTCTCTACAATAAATCAAAAAAATTAGCTAGGCCTGATGGTGCATGCCTGTGGTTTCAGCTACTTGGAAGGCTGAGACAGAAGGATTGCCCAAGCCCAACAGGTCAAGACTGAGGTGACTGTGAGCGTGCCACTGCACTACAGCCTGGGCAACAGAGACTCCAACTCAAAGGAAAACAAAAATAAAATTAAATTAAATTAATAACATGTTTATTACAAGAAAACTTGGAAACCACAAAAAACCTCATTTCAGTGGTTAACATTTGGTGTGTATTTGTTCTTCCATGTAAAGGTTGCTCTATAATCAGTGACTCCAGTCATCAGTCCCTGTCCCCCTTTGGTAAATTACTCTGTTCTTCCCTCTTCAGGTGTTTCTTGAATGTCTGCTTTGCATATACATCCCGCCATGAGATCAGTAATGCAGTGAGAGAGATGGCCTGGGGAGTGGAGCAAGGCCTGCTGGATCCCAGGTATCCTGAGTTTCATGTGGTAACTGATAAGGTGAACAGAAGTGTACCATACCATAAAACCCTATGCCATGTACTTGGCCAGAGGCCAAAATCAGGGGAGCATGTGGAAAGATATAGGGGGAAATCTCCCAAATTTAGAGTTTAGAATCAGTTTATTCTAGCCCACTTCAGAATTAGAGTTCACCACACACCAAGAAACCCCAGAGAAACAGCAAAGCAGGTAGCAAGGCCATGTCATTCAATAAAAAATTACACCCACCTGGCCCTTTGGCAGCATTTTTCCAAAAATGACTTATCGGGAATGCAGTTTGTTGGGGGTCTACTCTTTGAGGCCTCTCATGTTGTAGTTTCATACAAGATTTGGGTTTTTTTAAAAAAGAAAATTGTTAATCACTGGCAACATAGTGGAATCCTAATTATTAGAACTATGAGGAACTTTAAAAGCCATCTATCTGTTTGGTCTCTCTTATGTTATTACTGTAACTTTTTTTTTTTTTTTAGTTGGAGTCTCTCTCTGTCACTCAGGCTGGAGTGCAGTGGCATGCTCATGGCCACTGCAGCCTCAACCTGCTGGGCTCAGGCAATCCTTCTGACTCAGTCATCCAAGTAGCTGGAGCTATAGGCGCATGCTACCATGCCTGGCTTATTTTTTTATTTGTTGTAGAGATGTGTTCTCACCAAGTTGTCCAGGCTGGTCTCAAATCCCTGGGCTCAGGGAATTCCCTCACCTCAGCCTCCCAAAGCGCTGGGATTATAGGTGTGAACCACTGTGCCCAGAGTCTTCTTGATTTTTAATCTAGTTTCCCAGGTCAACTGAATTACATGCAAGAAGGGAATCAGAAAAATTTCTGGGTCCCAAGATCCCATATAGTAGAAACAAAGGATAAGAACTCTAGAATCAGTCACCTTTAGATATGAAGCCAACTCTGGCACTTACTAGTAGAGTGACCTTAGGTAATACTTACCTCAGTTTTCTCATCTATAATATGGACAACAGACTTGAATCTCTCACATATAAGATTAGTGACTTAATACAGAATATATCACCTGGATTACTTTTCGCTATTATTATTTTACTATCACTATTATAAGTTTACTAATATTATTAAAAGTCACATTGGCTGGGTGAGCATGCCATTGCACTCGCGCATGGGTGACAGAGTGAGACTCTGACTCAAAAAATAAATAAATAAAATAAAGATAAAAGGAAGTAGGTAAAATCAATAGGGCTTACTAGGTGCAGGGACTCATGCCTATAATCCCAGCACTTTGGGAGGCTTGAGCCCAGGAGTTCAAGACCAGTCTAGGCAACATAGTGAGACCTCACCTCTACAAAAAATCACCTGGGCATGATGGTATGCACCTATTGACCTATTGTTCCGCTACTCAGGAGACTGAGGCAGGAGGATCGCTTAATCCCTGAAGTTGGAGGCTACAGTGAGCCATGATTGTGCCACTGCACTCTAGCCTGGGCAACAGAGTGAGACCTTGACTAGGAAAAAAAATCAATAGGGCTCAATGGACTGACTCTGGGGAAAGAATGTGTTAAAGGTAACCCTGAAGTTTTTGATTTATATAACAGTGAATAGTGATACCCTTCACTGTACTAGGAAGCCCTGAGAGAAGATCCAGTTTTTATTTTATTTAATTTATTTTTATTTATTTTATTTATTTTATTTTTTGAGGGGGTGTCTCACTTTGTCACCCAGGCTGGAGTGCAGTGGCACACTGCTCACAGCCACTGCTGCCTCGACCTGCTGGGCTCAGGTAATCCTTCCAACTCAGCTTTCCAAGTAGCTAGAACTACAGGCATGCACCATCACACCTGGCTAATTTTTTTGATTTATTGTAGAGACAAGGTTGTCCAGGCTGGTCTCAAATCCATGGACTCAGGCAGTCCTCTCGCCTCAGACTCCCAAAGTGCTGGGATTACAGGTGTGAGCCACTGTGCTCAGCAGAGAAGATCCAGTTTAAAGAAAAAGGACCAGGAATTTAGTTTCAGATATCCTGTAGATGTTGAACAGAGATGTCAGCTTGACAGTTGAGAGAGGGGTCAGTACAATACAGGAGATACTAGTGTGGAGATCATCTGTGTGTCATGTAACTGAACAAAGAAGGTATGAGGAAGCTAAGGGGAGTTTAGATTGAGAAGAAGAGAGGGCCTAGAATGGTGTTTTTGAGAAACTCTTTTACTGGCTGGGTAGAGGAGAATGAGCCTCAAGGGCAAAAAGAATGAGCAAGCAAAAGTCAGAAAGGAAGCCACAGCATCTGCTGTTACAGAAGGCAAGAAAAGAGAGAATTTGTTGGGGCACGCTGGGGAGGGGCATGGGCATGGGGCATTGACAGTAATGGTGTGAAATGCTGTAGAGAAGTCACTCAAGATAGAGACTGAAAATTAGCTGTTGGGAATAAAAATTGTCTGATTAAGTTGTCAGGGGGTAGAGGACAGGCAGAAGGATAAGACAGGAGAAGGATATATAAATAGATGCACACTTTTGGTAATTTTTAAATTCTTGGGAGTGACTTTATATTTGTTCATTATATTATTGTACTTTATAATTAATGTTTACGATACTCTTGTATCTATGAAATAATATATTAAAAATAATAGAGATCAAGTGTTAATGATAGAAAGCTATTTGGCAAGCAGATTTTTGGTTTTTTTGGTTTTTTTTTAGTTGGAGTCTCACTCTGTTGCTCAGACCGGAGTGCAGTGGCACGCTCCTGGCCACCACAACCTCGACCTGTTGGGCTCCGGCAATCCTTCCGCCTCAGCCTTCCAAGTAGCTGGAATTACAGGCGCGAGCTACCACGCCCGTTTAATTTTTTGATTTATTGTAGAGATGAGGTCTCACCAAGTTGCCCAGGCAGGTCTCGAACCTGCGGACTCAGACAATCTACTCACCTCAGCCTCCCAAGATGCGGGATTACAGGCTGAGCCACCTAGCCCGGCTAGATTTTTTTTTTGAGTCTAAGTCTTACTCTGTCGCCCAGGCTGGAGTGCAGTGGCACACTCACGGCCACTGCAGCCTTGAATTGCTGGGCTTACATGATCTTCTGTCTCAGCCTTCCAAGCAGCTAGAACTACAGGCATGCACTACCATGCCTGGCTTATTTTTTGATTTATTGTAAAGACGAGGTCTCACCAAGTTTCCCAGGCTGGTCTCAAACCCCTGAGCTCAGGCAATCCTCTAGCCTCGCCTCCCAGAGTGCTGGGATTATAGGCATGAGTCACCGCACCCGGCCCAGCAAGCAGATTTAATATGCATTTATGCCTAGGACTAGAACTCTTATTTTTTTTAATGTAATTATTTAATAACACAGAAAATAACATATCTGAACATGCATACAAAAAACTGGAAGGTTATATACCAAAATATCATTAGTATTTACTTCTGTTCAGTAATTAAATATTCTTCCCTTTGTTTTTGTGTAGTATAAAAAAGATTATTTATAAACAGAAAAGTAAACAAGATCCTGTACAAAGTTATTAAGCAATTATTAAATGCCAAGAGTTAGGAATCTTAAGAAGTCAAACCAGGAGCCCAGAAGTCAAGGTCAAGTCCATGCCAGGGTGGGGTTGACTATTGGGTCAAACCCAGAAATGGAACAGTCTAGCATGTTCTACCCTCATATCACATTGCAATAACCACTGACCTTATCTCCTGTTTCTTGTCCAGCAAGTTTTCCCATATCTATCCTCTCTGTCCTGCATAGTTTAGTAACTTTCCTCTGTGGGGTTAGTCATGCAGACAGGGTGTAGGCTGGGCAGAATCACTGGGGTCAGGAGGCTGATGTCTCAACCCACCAGCTCCTGAAGCTTGGTGTTCAGCTCAACCTGGGTTAATCAGGGCCTGAGGCAGTGCACTTTACATTATTCAAATTTAGACAAACCCACATTTATAACAAAGCAATGAATTGATTACAATTAGGTTCAATGCTTCTAATAGCTGGAACCTTCCTGATCTCTTACCACCACCATCCAACTCCTTATTTTTCTTTCTTCCAGCATATATTATTTCTTAGCAATTAAATTAAAATATTGTCTGGTGAATCTGGAATTATGGAAGAAGGAATGAGGTTGAGGCTGCAGGATAATTAATAAACTCTATTCTAGTGAGTTACCTTGATCAGGTCACTTGACTCCCTGTAAACCTGTGCCTTCCTTATAAAGTAATAGTATTAATAATAATTGCTAATGTGTACTGAGCACTTACTTTATGCCAGATATTTATTTTATTTTGCATCAGGGACTCACTGTTGTCCAGGCTGGAGTGCAGGGGCACAATCATGGCTCACTGCAGCCTCAAACTCCTGAGCTCAAGCAATCTCTCCACCTCAGGCTCCCAAGGAGTTAAAACTACAGCACATATCACATACCTGGTTAATTTTTTTGTAGTGATGACATCTAGCTATGTTGTCTAGGCTGGTCTCGAACTCCTGGGCTCAAGCTCTTGCCTTGGCCTCCCAAAGTGCTGGAATTATTGGTATCAGCTACCCCACCCAGCCATGCACCAGGAATTTACTAAGTATTCCATGTATATTTAATTATTTCTTCTTTTTTTTTTTTTTGAGTTGGAGTCTAACTCTGTCACCCAGACTGGAATGCAGTGGCACATTCAACAGCCACTGCAGCCTTGACCTGCTGGGCTCAAGCATCCTTCCACTTCAGCCTTCCACGTAGCTGGAACTATAGGCATGCACCACCACACCCAGTTCATTTTTTAATTTTATTTTCTTGTAGAGATGAGGTATTGCCATGCTGCCCAGGCTGGTCTCAAATCCATGGGCTCAGGCAATTCTCTTGCCTCCGCCTCCCAAAGTGCTGGGATTACAGTCATGAGCCACCTTGCCCAGCCAATATATTTAATTCTTAGACCCTGTAAAGTAGATATTGTTTCTATGTCTCCCCCTCCCTTTTTTTTTTTTTTTTTTTTTTTGAGACAGAGTTTTACTCTCTTGCCCAGTATGGAATGCAGTGGCACTATCACAACTCACTGTAGGCTTGAACTCCTGGGCTCAAATGACCCTTCTGCCCCAGCCTCCCAAGTAGCTAGGACTACAGTACGCACTACTATGCCCACCTAATTTTTCTATTTTTTATAGATGAGGTCTTACCATGCTGCCCAGGCTTGTCTCAAACTCCTGGGCCCAAGCAATCTCTCCACCTTAGCCTCCCAAAGTGCTGGAATTATTGGTGCAAGCCAACATGCCTACTTTTATGCCTATTTTTTACAATGAGAAACGTGTTCAAGTTTATGTAGCTGGCAAACCTTGGGCCAGGATTTTAACCTGACTTCAGAGCCTGTGCTTTCATTCACAATGGCATACTGACTGTTTTAAAATGAGCAATAAAGCAGTATAAAAATAAAAATAAAGGGCTGGGTGCAGTGGCACATGCCTACAATCTCAGTACTTTGGGAGGTCGAGGTGAGAGGATTGCCTGAGTCCATGGGTTCGAGACAAGCCTGGGAAGCTTGGTGAGACCTCATCTCTACAATTAAAAAAAAATGGACTAGCACAGTGGCTTATGCCTATAATCCCAGCACTTTGGGAGGCCAAGGTGAGAGGATTGCCTGAGCTCACAAGTTTGAGACCAGCCTGGGCAACGTGGCGAGACTTTATCTCTACAATAAATCAAGAAAAATTAGCCAACCATGGTGGCACACACCTGTAATTCTAGCTACTTGGGAGGCTGAGGTGGGAGGATCGTTTTAGCCCAGCAGGTTGAGCATGTGGTGACTGTGAGAGTGCCACTGTACTTCAGCATGGGCGACAGAGTGAGACTCCAACTCAAAAATAAATAAAAATAGATAAATAAATATAAATAAGAGTTACTGGATCTTAATATGAGGTGGGTATTATGCTAAGAATTTATTATGCATATTCTCATGTAAGGTAATGGCTGTTATTTGCCCTATTTTGTAAGACAACTTAACTAGGGTGTTTTTTTTGAGTTGGAGTCTCACTCTGTCACCCAGGCTCGAGTACAGTGGCATGCTCACGGCCACCACAGCCTCAACCTGCTAGGCTCAGGCGATCCTTCTACCTTAGCCTTCCAAGTAGCTGGGACTACAGGCGCACACCACTACGCTCGGCAAATTTTTTGATTTATTGTAGAGATGAGGTCTCACCAAGTTGCCTAAGCTGGTTTCAAACTCAGGCAATCCTCTAACCTTGGTCTTCCAAAGTGTTGGGATTATAGGCATGAGCCACCGTATCTGGTCTAACTAAGTTTTTAAAGATGTGTTGACTCCTGTCTACTTCAAGAGCCTATGTTCTTGTTCAGAAAATTTCCCCATCTTTTTTATACATTTTTTTCTCCCTGAATTGAAGTCTCACTCTGTCACCCAGGCTGGAGTGCAGTGGCATGCTCACGGCCACCATAGTGTCAACCCACTGGGTTCAGGCGATCCTTCCACGTTAGCCTTACAAATAGCTGGAACTATAGATATGCGCCACCACTCCCGGCTAATTTTTCAATTTATTGTAGAGATGAGATCTCGCCATGTTGCCCAGGCTGGTCTCGAACCCATGGGCTCAGACAATCTCTTTACCTCGGCCTCTCAAATTACTGAGATTACAGACTTGAGCCACCATGCGTGGCCTGTAGATTAAATGTTACAGAAATGTACCATATTGTTCTTACCATAGGGCACATTTTTGCATTTTTGTACCTTCTAGAAAGTTGCTTTTATTTTTTTAAAAATTTTTTTATTTTTTTGAGTTGGAGTCTCACTCTGTCGCCCAGACTGGAGTGCAGTGGCCGCTCCCGGCCACCGCAGCCTCGACCTGCTGGGCTCCGGCGATCCTTCCGCCTCAGCCTTCCGAGTAGCCGGAATTACAGGCACGCGCTACCACGCGCGGCTGATTTTTTGATTTATTGTAGAGATGAGGTCTCGCTGTCCAGGCGGGTCTCGAACCCATGGGCTCAGGCAATCCACTCACCTCAGCCTCCCAAAGGTGCAAGATTACAGGCTGAGCCACCGAGCCCGGCTAGAAAGTTTCTTTTAAATGGTAGTGGGGACACACTGACGTATTATTCCTCCTTTTTTCCTGATGCCATGCTATTCACTATCTTATAGATACTTATTGTTGCCAGGTCTCTTTTCCAGAGGTGGTTGCCTTAAAATACCTAATCAGACTGATTCTTAGATACCTAGCATTAATTTTATTTCTATTTATTTAATTTTATTTTGGGGGGGTTGGGGCTTCATTCTGTCACCCAGGCTGGAGAGGAGTAGCATGATCATGGCTCAAAACAGACTCAACCTTCCACTTCACCCTCCCAAAGTGCTAGTATGATAGGCATGAGCCACTGTGCTTGGCCCCAAGTCATCTTTTAAAAACACAAGTCCAGGCCAAACGCTGTCGCTCAAGCCTGTAATTCCAGCACTTTGGGAGGCAGAGATGAAAGGATTACATGATCTCAGGGGTTTAAGACCAGCCTGAGCAACATGGTGAGACTTCGTCTCTACAATAAATAAAAAAATTAGCTGGGCATAGTGGCACATGCCTGTGGTTCCAGCAACTTGGAAGGCTGAGGAGGAAGGATCACCTGAGCCCAGCAGGTTGAGGCTGCAGTGGCTGTGCCTGGGCTATACAGTGAGACTCTGACTCAAAAACAAATAAATAAATACATAAGTTCATAGAAGCCCAAATCTCACTGTCACACAATATATCCTTGTAACAAAATAACACATGTACCTCTTGAATCTAAAGTTAAAAGTAAAAATAAAATCATAAATCCTAAAGCCAAGAGCTGTGGTGTGTACCTGTTCTAATCCCAGCTACTTCGGGATTATCTTTATTTTTTAAAAAGCAGTTGCATCTGTTTCATTAATTGCTGAGTCTTAGGATATATGCGTTTTAAAAAACAAGGTGTTGACTGAACTCGGTGGCTCAACCTGTAATCCCAGTACTTTGGGAAGCTGAGGTGAGTAGATTACCTGAGCCCACGGGTTTGAGACCAGCCCGGGCAATTTATCTCTACAATAAATAAAATATTAGCCAATAGTGGTAGTGTGTGCCTGTAGTTCCAGCTACTTGGAAGGCTGAGGTGAAAGGATTGACAGAGCCCAGCGGGTCGATGCTGGGGTGGCCGTGAGTGTGCCTACTGTGCCACTGAACTCCAGCCTGGATGACAGAGTGAGACTCCAACTAAAAAAAAAAAAACCAGCCAGGC